TTGATTCTTCCCACATGCCATTTCGACAACCTAGGGGGTTGTGTACAATAATACTTGTTTGAACAATACCTGATGCTGCACAGACTAATTCAGTATGGCAGGACTTCTTAGGAGGGACCACTTCCACTTCCAGGCCCTGAAATAAGTGAAGGAATTATGCTTTAGTCTGCAAGCAACAGTCAAATTGTCTCTCACCTGTTTTACTCTTTCCTCTCTCCGTCTTTTTCGTGCCTGCACCCTGTCTTCCTCAGACCTTGGTGATACAAAGACAACATTCATTCACTATGAAATCATTCATGTTATTCTGTTGACACTTGACTGAGCAAAACGTTTATATAATTACACGTATCAGATTAGCACTCTAACCATAATAATAAAGCCCATCAGGTGTAGAACTCAGATACAAACATAAAAAGCTTAAAAAACTAACATTTCCCCTGTAAAATATATTTTCCACCAAAAAGTAATCATGACCACACAACATATCTCCCCAAAGCTATAAAAGTGTTCCTACAGGTTTCTTCAACTTAAAATTAAGTCTGTTTAAGATCTTTCTAAAGCCATATAGAAAATTAATACCTATTTCACAGCACTATCAGCAAAAAAGTAAATAAATAAAATAAAATTCTTGAACTAGTTTTCATTTATTTATCTATACAACTTTACCAATATATTTTGACAAAACACTGGGTGGGCACTTGGTAGAAGATCGGTGATATTTTTAAACAAATGGTTAAAAATATAACCGGATCTCTGGTTTTACATTAGAACCTTAACAATAATTTTTGTTGCCTATATTTTAGTTTAATTTTAAGAGTTTTTTTTATTATTATTGTTAATTTTATTACCCTAATTTCTTGCAGTATTTCTATTGTATAAAAGCAACAGTGCAAACAGTAAAGACACAAAATTGAAATAAATGTCTAAAAATAGCCTTTATTAATACTAGTGCTTCTCTTCATGTCATCACTTGTTTGGAATATTTTGATGAACTTCAGAAGAAAAATGCAGTACAGAAAACTTACATCCAACACAAATTTTAAGACCCAGATGCCAAAATTGAAGGGTTTCTCTAGTCTTTTAAAGGTATTACTTTCAAATTCATAAATTCAATGCTTTTAAGACTCCGCGGGAACCCTGTAAACATTTCTCCTCAAAAGTAAGTCACGCCGCATGTGTAAAATAGGCTATATGTATCATCTAAAACTCATATAATGGGGAAAAAACCTTTAATTTCCAAGTTCATAAAACGTTCACCCAACATTGGTCCTCGATATTGTTAAAACAGAGAAAGAAAAATCCTGGCTTACCTTGATTTTGGCAGCTACTTCCCTCTGTCCCGGCTACAGCATTGCACACACACAGCGGTTTCCTGGTTCCATTGAGAGAGGGGCAGGACGCAGGAGTCAAATAGTTGTCTCCACCCACCTCTAAACGTTTGACTCCGCCCACATTTAGCCCCGCCCCGATCTCCGGGATGCAGTCAGCGGTAGTTGGGAGTTGACAGCGGTCGCAGCCAGATCCTTTTGTTTTGGAAACGGGTGGTTTAGCGGCGTAGAATTTCTTTCACATTCACTTTTGCCCAACTAAATGGACAAGGTAAGGAGAAAGCTATTAGTTTTGTTGTTTTAAGCCAGCGTAGCAAGAGAAAGTGTAAGTGTAAACGTATTGTGTTTTTTAAGTGTTTTTCTGTTAACCCTTTCCCAACGTTTAAATTTTCTAACGTTAAAGTCATTCAAGCACAAAAAAATGCACTTACAAAGCTTCCCATAGAAATATTATATAATATTTAAAGAAGTGGTAATTCCCCCCTCAGAGTCTTAGGGGGGGACACACCGGCCGCGGAAGCGCCGCGAAGCGCCGAGAAGCGAATCGCTCACGAAATTCGGCCGCTGATCGCCGCTCCTCAGTTCAGATCAGACGCGCCCCACACAGCAAAAACACATGTGTCAAAAATGACACATGTTGTGTTATTTTTTAACACATGTGCGGAGTGTGATCAGGGACAACACATGTTGTGTTAATTTCAACACATTAAATGTGTAACCCATTTTTACACATTAATTGTGTCAACTTTTTTAACGCTAAAATGTGTCATTGCAACACATGAATTGTAGCTTTTAATGTAGTTAAAATAAGTGCTGAAACTTAGAGAAAAGGGCAGCTTTAAATATGTTTATTTTTAAATGCTCACAGAACATATAAAAGCATAACATGACCGCAGATAATCCATTTTGTTATTTAATCAGCTTAGATAATTAAGCTGTAACACAATCAAATCTCAAATGCCTGCCAACAATAGCATGGCAAATGAACACAATTCCATTTTTCTGTCCAACATGTAAAACAAAAGGTTTCTGAATGTGATTTGAAAAACGTGTGTTTTTTTAAGTGAAACCATTAAGTGATTCATAGTATGAGGTTCCGAATGTATGAGGTTCCGAATGTGCCAAACATGTGTCTATGTATTTCTGTGCGTGTCTATGTATTTGTACACTCACTGCACTGCGTTGCTGTAATGTGTGTCTATGTATTTCTGTGCGTGTCTATGTATTTGTACACTCACTGCACTGCGTTGCTGTAATGTGTGTCTATGTATTTCTGTGCGTGTCTATGTATTTGTACACTCACTGCACTGCGTTGCTGTAATGTGTGTCGTATTTTATGAGGTTCCGAGTGTTGTCTCAGTCTGTCGTTACTCTCTGTCGACACGTGCTGTTGTCACGTGCTGTTGTCTCGTGCTGTTGTCACGTGCTGTTGTCACGTGCTGTTGTCACGTGCTGTTGTCACGTGCTGTTGTCACGTGCTGTTGTCTCGTGCTCATGTCACGTGCTGTTGTCACGTGCTGTTGTCTCGTGCTGTTGTCACGTGCTGTTGTCACGTGCTGTTGTCACGTGCTGTTGTCTCAGTCTGTCGTTACTCTCTGTCGACACGTGCTGTTGTCACGTGCTGTTGTCTCAGTCTGTCGTTACTCTCTGTCGACACGTGCTGTTGTCACGTGCTGTTGTCTCGTGCTGTTGTCACGTGCTGTTGTCACGTGCTGTTGTCATGTGCTGTTGTCACGTGCTGTTGTCTCAGTCTGTCGTTACTCTCTGTCGACACGTGCTGTTGTCACGTGCTGTTGTCTCGTGCTGTTGTCACGTGCTGTTGTCACGTGCTGTTGTCACGTGCTGTTGTCACGTGCTGTTGTCTGGTGCTGTTGTCACGTGCTGTTGTCACGTGCTGTTGTCTCGTGCTGTTGTCACGTGCTGTTGTCACGTGCTGTTGTCATGTGCTGTTGTCACGTGCTGTTGTCTCAGTCTGTCGTTACTCTCTGTCGACACATGCTGTTGTCTGGTGCTGTTGTCAGGTGCTGTTGTCACGTGCTGTTGTCACGTGCTGTTGTCTCGTGCTGTTGTCACGTGCTGTTGTCACGTGCTGTTGTCATGTGCTGTTGTCACGTGCTGTTGTCTCAGTCTGTCGTTACTCTCTGTCGACACATGCTGTTGTCTGGTGCTGTTGTCAGGTGCTGTTGTCACGTGCTGTCGACACGTGCTGTTGTCTGGTGCTGTTGTCAGGTGCTGTTGTCACGTGCTGTCGACACGTGCTGTTGTCAGGTGCTGTTGTCACGTGCTGTTGTCTCGTGCTTTTGTCTCGTGCTGTTGTCTGGTGCTGTTGTCACGTGCTGTTGTCTCGTGCTGTTGTCACGTGCTGTCACGTGCTGTTGTCATGTGCTGTTGTCTCAGTCTGTCGTTACTCTCTGTCGACACGTGCTGTTGTCTCGTGCTTTTGTCTCGTGCTGTTGTCTCGTGCTGTTGTCACGTGCTGTTGTCTGGTGCTGTTGTCACGTGCTGTTGTCTCGTGCTGTCGACACGTGCTGTTGTCACGTGCTGTTGTCACGTGCTGTTGTCAGGTGCTGTTGTCACGTGCTGTTGTCTCAGTCTGTCGTTACTCTCTGTCGACACATGCTGTTGTCTGGTGCTGTTGTCAGGTGCTGTTGTCACGTGCTGTCGACACGTGCTGTTGTCAGGTGCTGTTGTCACGTGCTGTTGTCTCGTGCTTTTGTCTCGTGCTGTTGTCTGGTGCTGTTGTCACGTGCTGTTGTCTCGTGCTGTTGTCACGTGCTGTTGTCACGTGCTGTTGTCATGTGCTGTTGTCTCAGTCTGTCGTTACTCTCTGTCGACACGTGCTGTTGTCTCGTGCTTTTGTCTCGTGCTGTTGTCTCGTGCTGTTGTCACGTGCTGTTGTCTGGTGCTGTTGTCACGTGCTGTTGTCACGTGCTGTTGTCTGGTGCTGTTGTCACGTGCTGTTGTCTGGTGCTGTTGTCACGTGCTGTTGTCACGTGCTGTTGTCTGGTGCTGTTGTCACGTGCTGTTGTCTGGTGCTGTTGTCACGTGCTGTCGACACGTGCTGTTGTCTGGTGCTGTTGTCACGTGCTGTTGTCAGGTGCTGTTGTCACGTGCTGTCGACACGTGCTGTTGTCAGGTGCTGTTGTCACGTGCTGTCGACACGTGCTGTTGTCAGGTGCTGTTGTCACGTGCTGTCGACACGTGCTGTTGTCACGTGCTGTTGTCACGTGCTGTTGTCACGTGCTGTTGTCACGTGCTGTCGACACGTGCTGTTGTCACGTGCTGTTGTCACGTGCTGTTGTCACGTGCTGTTGTCTCGTGCTGTTGTCTGGTGCTGTTGTCTCGTGCTGTCGACACGTGCTGTTGTCACGTGCTGTTGTCACGTGCTGTTGTCAGGTGCTGTTGTCACGTGCTGTCGACACGTGCTGTTGTCACGTGCTGTCGACACGTGCTGTTGTCAGGTGCTGTTGTCTCGTGCTGTCGACACGTGCTGTTGTCACGTGCTGTTGTCTCGTGCTGTTGTCTGGTGCTGTTGTCTCGTGCTGTCGACACGTGCTGTTGTCACGTGCTGTTGTCTCGTGCTGTTGTCTCGTGCTTTTGTCTCGTGCTGTCGACACGTGCTGTTGTCACGTGCTGTTGTCTCGTGCTTTTGTCTCGTGCTGTTGTCTCGTGCTGTTGTCACGTGCTGTTGTCTCGTGCTGTTGTCACGTGCTGTTGTCACGTGCTGTTGTCATGTGCTGTTGTCTCAGTCTGTCGTTACTCTCTGTCGACACGTGCTGTTGTCTGGTGCTGTTGTCTCGTGCTGTTGTCACGTGCTGTTGTCTCGTGCTGTTGTCTCGTGCTGTTGTCTGGTGCTGTTGTCTCGTGCTGTCGACACGTGCTGTTGTCTCGTGCTGTTGTCACGTGCTGTTGTCTCGTGCTGTTGTCACGTGCTGTTGTCACGTGCTGTTGTCATGTGCTGTTGTCTCAGTCTGTCGTTACTCTCTGTCGACACGTGCTGTTGTCTGGTGCTGTTGTCTGGTGCTGTTGTCACGTGCTGTTGTCACGTGCTGTTGTCACGTGCTGTTGTCTCAGTCTGTCGTTACTCTCTGTCGACACGTGCTGTTGTCTGGTGCTGTTGTCAGGTGCTGTTGTCACGTGCTGTCGACACGTGCTGTTGTCTGGTGCTGTTGTCAGGTGCTGTTGTCACGTGCTGTCGACACGTGCTGTTGTCTGGTGCTGTTGTCAGGTGCTGTTGTCACGTGCTGTCGACACGTGCTGTTGTCAGGTGCTGTTGTCACGTGCTGTTGTCTGGTGCTGTTGTCTGGTGCTGTTGTCTGGTGCTGTTGTCACGTGCTGCTGTCTGGTGCTGTTGTCACGTGCTGTTGTCACGTGCTGTTGTCACGTGCTGTTGTCTGGTGCTGTTGTCACGTGCTGTTGTCTGGTGCTGTTGTCACGTGCTGTTGTCTCAGTCTGTCGTTACTTAGACACATATAAATACATAGACACATATAAATACATAGACATAGACACATATAAATACATAGACATAGACACCTATAAATACATAGACATAGACACCTATAAATACATAGACATAGACACCTATAAATACATAGACATAGACACATATAAATACATAGACATAGACACATTTAAATACATAGACATAGACACATATAAATACATAGACACACATTACAGCAACGCAGTGCAGTGTGCGTACAAATACATAGAGACGCACAGAAATACATAGACACATTTTTGGCACATTCGGAACCTCATATACGCTAGGTGGATTTGTGAAAGGTGCACAGTAGAGGGCTAGCAGCTGTCAAGCTAACTTTGAGCAGGTCCAGTGGTACCAAGTACGGGGAAATACGACTTTCAACCAAGCTGTCCAGCGTGAAACTTACTTCCCTGAGCAGGTCCTACATCAAATCTCTCACCACTCGTGTGTACACAATATCCTTAGGTATGGTTTCAGACAAAGTCTTGATTGCACGTAGAGATTCATTAATCAGAGCCTAGTGTAGGTACCAGAGTACCCTGTAAGGTTTTAGTAAGTACTTCCTGTTAGCGTTCTAGGAGGAGTTTCTCTTGGTTAGTGAAAATGACGGCGGGGGGGGGGGGGGGGGGGGGGGGGGGGGGGGCTGGTTCTTTGTCGGTTAGTACATGTTAGTGGGTTAAACGTGCACTTTCCCCCCCTTTCCATTTCCATGCATAGAACTATGTGGAGACTACGTCGACCTCCTGCGGGGAGTCTGGTCTCTGTACCCGCGGGGATGGTTTGACGTAGGGTTTGATTTGGTTTGCATGCACCCATTTGTAGACAGGTTCCTGTCTCGCATTGGTGATGCGTAACCTGTATGCAACTGGAGAGAGTTTTGCCACGATCTCAAATGGTCCTGACCAGCAGGGCAGGAACTTCTTAGCTTTGCGTGCCGGTTGGACGAACCGAAAGTAGAATACTTTGTCACCCACCTCGTATTCGC